ATGTTATTAATAAATAAATCATTAAGTCAATTAATAATTTTTAATAATATGAAAAATGTCTTTCAATGAATAATTTGGATAATTTATTGCTTTGAAAAGGAGTTAGAAAATAGGAAAAATTAGTCTAAATCCATCTCCAACTTTTTGTAATTGGAGAGGTCCACAATATATATATATATATATATATTTTGTAACCTAAGGTCCTTCACTCACTCCCATATATCACATTTACTCTCTCTCTCTCTCTCCCTCTGTCTCTGCTTTTTCTTCTCCCTACCGTCGCCAACGTCATCCTGCTTCTTCTCCTCCACCTTCTCCCACCATCAGCCACCCCCTTCTCCTTCATCTCCCAAACCCTAGACCAAACCACCACCCCCGTTCACAATCACAATCTAGTTTTGTAGAGAGAGAGAGAGAGAGAGAGAGAGTTGGGGAATTAAATCAAGTAATTTTATCTGGATTAAACAAATTTATAGTCTAAGTATTCCTGGTATTTGTTAAATTATTTTCTCAATTTCTTCAACATAGCTCCTAGGTATTTTCAAATTTTAGTATAATCATTCAAACCTATTTAGATTTTTTGGGTTTTGATCAATTATTGTTGTATTAACTGACATACATACATACACGAATATGATTTCTCTACGAGTTTATCTTTGTTCAATTTTGTAGTTCAATTTTCTCTAGTTTGACCAAACACAAAGAAAATTGTGAGCAAACCTGATAAAATTGGTCAAAACACAAAGAAATTTGTGAGTAAATCAAATAAATTTTAAACCAAAAAAAATTCAAAATGCAGAAAAAATCAGAGAAATTGAACAAACCAGAGAAATTTGTCTGTATTTTGAAATTTTTCTAGATTGAAATTTCTCTGAAAAGATGTTAAGGAACTCCAACCACTATGAAAATATTGCATGCCATTTATCCTATAAAATCTTAATACCAGAGACCTTAAAAAAATTTCCAAATATATATTTCCTGTTTATTCTGTTAAATTAAAAAATCTAACAAGTGTAATTAGAATTTCTCTAATTATAGAGGCAAATCATATTTTAAATAAACTTTAGAGATGTATTTATAATTATTTGAAAACCAAATATTCATGTCTCAGAATTGACCAAGATTCTTTGAATATTTACTAAAAACCTTTCATCTAAAATTAGTCTCACAAATATTGGTAAATAATGTAAAAGAAAAGGACAAAATGGAGAAATTAAAGCACAAGACATTATTAGTAAAGTAAATAGGACCAACCATAAGGGTAAAATGGGAAAACACAAATAAGAGCCATGAAGCCTGAATTGCCTCTTATATGGGTAATTATTTTGTAATTTAGGAGTACGGTCACGTGGTACTCCATGGTAATATGATTTGTGAAAAAAGTAGGCCATTAATTACTTGAATTGGGTGATTGAGGAATATGAGAGGATATAATGAATGGTAATTGGTGAGGAAATATAATCACATGGTATTTTGAGAGTACCTATTAATTTTCTTTTTTATATATAAGAGATATTGTGGTCATGTATTGGTAGTTTTCATGTGCCAACCTAGTTGGCATATATATATATATATATATATTTTCTGACTACCATGTAGTTTTAAACAACATTACCTTTTCTCTCTCTCTCTCTCTCTCTCTCTCTCTCTCTCTCTTTAACGTAATTTAAGTTGGATGTTTTTGAAGTTATTTTCTATCAATTACTTTATTTTTGCCGATAAAAAAGAAATAGTAAGAAGGAGTAGTGTGATATGAAATTAGATAAGAAAAGAAAAGATTATAATTGCAATTATGCCAAACTCATAATACTTATTACATTCATACTAACAAAATTTCTTTTTTTTCAATCATAATATCAATTTTTTGATAATACCAAAAATACCATCCATCTTCTCTAACTTGTGAACCTAACCTAATTCTAACCCTAACAATTGCCATCATCATTGTTGGCTACCACCCACTCTCCTGTCGCCTCACTTCCTCTTTGCAACCATTTTTTCCTCTAAATCTATCCGCCGCCATTACCATTGCTGGTTGCCGGTCCTTCTCTAATCCCCTCCCATCTTCTCATTGTCATCTCTTATGGTTGCTCCATCCTTAATCCCATTCTCACTCTGTCACCTATTTTCAACCCCTCACCCAATCTCATCCACCATTCATCGGCCTCTGTAACCACCATCTTCTCAACTTGACACCTCTATCATATTCTTTCGTTTTCTTCTTCTTTAAACCTTGAATCTTGATTTCTCTCTATGTTTATGTTTGTGTGTGCTCATGAGAGTTGGGGTCATGAAGGATAGGGGCTGGAGTGGCAGTGATGGTGTGTCATGGGGGTGGTAGATCAAATTTCAAATTGCAGTCTTGATTTAGAACAAGTGAATGAAGAATTCTTGGAACAATTGGACCGATAAATAAAAAGGAAGAAGACAAATTGAGAGTAAGAACAATACTTTTGGGATAAGCTCAGACTTATCTCAAATTTGATAGTCTAATCGGAAACAACATTTTAAATCAAAATCATCACTACTTTTGCCATGATGCGGTGAAGTTTAGCTAAATTCCTTCATTTAAGCTCTCAAACAAGTGATTTTACAGTTTTACAAAAGTTTTGTTTTAGTAATAACTTTATTTTGAGAAGTTCATTTTTAACGCCATCTATTTTGGCGCGTTTCTATTATTACCTAATATTCAAATTTGGGCTTAACTCAAATTTTCTATTTTTGATAATGTTCTATATATTTTTTGTGTCTAATTCCTTGTTTCCTTGTTTAGTTAGGGTTTCATTCATTATAAATAAGGATGTATACCTTAGGGCAAATCAACTTTTATTCAATATAATTCAGTTTCTTTTTAGAATTCTTTCTTTCTTGTAAATTCAAGATGTTCTTCGTCTGATAGAATGATATCCAGCCTCGTGAGAAATATTCCACTGCATGAAGTCTACAACCATCCATTTATTGATATCATGATTCAGTATATGTTCAAGAATAAATAGATTTATGTATATATTTTTTTACTCGTCTTTACATGAAATAGTTCTAGCGAATAATACTAAATGCCTAATAAAGTGTAAAAATTTGTTAAATTATGAAAGGAAAGTAGCTTGTAATTCTAACAAACCTGTTAATTATTTGAAATTTTGCATATCATCATTCATTTAGGCTGCTAGTATAAATTGTCTTCAATACTTTTAAATTTAAGTACTTGTATTTTTGGTGAATTAAATTTAAATTAATTTACATGTAACCCAAGTAGTATGCAGTAGAAGTTAAATCATTGTGTCCAACACCAAAAAGGAAAAAATGACAGAAAAAAGAATATACAAAAGTTTAGTGGTGCAAGAATATCTGTCCTTACAAAATTTCTCTATATTTTATTTTGGTCTGAAATTAGATTGTACTATTTAATTGATTATTCCTATTTTAAAAATTATTAGGTAATTTCAGAGTACGGTGTTTCATTTTTTACGTGGGACTCTTGGCAAATGGGGGAGTTGAACTCGCACTATCTCCTTACAAGCACAATTACTTAACAAAAGTGAGTCACCATCTCTCACTCATAAAATTTTAGGCACCACCATTGGTTTGAACCACCACATAAGCAATGTTGCATGGTGCTCCCGTAATACCCAATAATTACTCTTCTAATTCAAGCCTAAAAAAAATGAAAGACAATAGGAAAAATAACCAATAAGTCATATTCTCCTCTTAAGATTACTATCAAGTCCTATTAAGTTTCAATATGTAAGTCTTATTTATGATAAAAGGTTCCCAAAATATTCATTGCTCTATAATGGTGTGTCTTGTCCTAATTTTACCCTTCCTATTTAATATAAACAACAATTTTATAAATAATGTTAACTTAATTAAAATTTAAAATTTTAATTGTAAAAATTATTAATCTTATACTTAAAATTTTGTTTCGGAAAAATAATTTAATTTGAACAATTAAAAATAATTTAATTATAAAATTTCTAATAACTTAAAATTATTTATCAATTTTTTTTCATATTTTAATGAAAAAGATAAAATGAAAATAAAATATACTATTACGAACAATTGAATTTATTTATAACTATTTATACACACACAAAAAAAATTTATTTGTTAATATTGAAATTTGATATAATTCAATAATAATTTTTAAAAGAAAATATAAATTATTGATAATTTTTTCATTGTGATTTATGATTTTTTTAATATAATATCATAATTTGTACAATTAAATATTATGATTTTATTAAAAATATTTATGAAATTGTTGCTCATATTAAATGAGGGGGTACCATTATGGAGCAATAATTTTTTTGAAAATATGTTATGAAAAATAAGACTCAGTTATCTATTTTGAAACTTGATAGGACTTAACAGTAATTCTAAGAGCAAGATATGACTTATTGACTATTTTCTCAAGACGGTATTAACTTATTAACTCCTAACTCATCTAAAAAGATCGCGTGTGACTAGATTCTCCTCCATAAACAGACCAAACACATCAATATTTTTAATTATCGAGAAAGTAGTGAGATTTTATTGTATGCTTGATACCATCTTAAATTATTAATGATCAACTTTAAAAATAAAAATAAAAAACTATTAAAGAGAGGGATAAATTTATTATTTATATTATATTCTCAATACAATTTTTATTTCATGGATAAATTACGAATACATCTTCTAAGATTTACTTAAAATATAGATTTCTCCATGTAATTCTGAAAATAATATGCCTCCTCTTCAAGTTTTCAATCAAATAACAAATGGCCTATTCTATTAACAAATTATCAAGTTAATTAATAGTTTTTAATGGCGCTATAAATATATTTCTATTAACAATTCATGTAATTTTATTATTGTATTGAAGAGTAGTTAATAATTTTATTTTATTTCTGTTAATTCTATTAAATAAAATTTTCTCACAAAGGATATTTGTAATTTCTAAAATCATAAAAAAAATTCGTATTTTATGCAAATCACATTAAGGTGTATCTGTAACTTTGGACAGAAAAGAAAAACCCACACCGTGTTTTTTGTGGGTGTTTCACATCATCCATGGCCCAAACATGTTTTATTTCACAGTTTATTTGGTAAAAACATACACTTTCATACCGTACTCAATACAAAACAACAATTAATAGTACTTCTTTCTTAATACAACATTTAGATTACAACTATGATGTCTTCGTCCTTCCCAAACCCTAGGGATACTTCTCTGTCAGATCACCTGATCCATACCAAACCAAATGGGGAGTCCTCATTTTTTACCGGAAACACCATCCTCACCGTCCCAGCTAGCTTATTGTTCATCTTGATATCCTGTATGGGTTCGATCTCTCCATCTATGAACCCGTACAAGACAATCCTTTCCGTGGTTAAGGCTTCTATGGCAGTCGGTTGCATAGGTGCGTTGTTGGCGATGTTCATGCGCCGCCAGGGCTATCCAGGCGTTGCTCGATGTATTCAGTATGTGGGCGGATTAGCTTACGCGTTCGGATTCTTGGGTATCGCAAGCATATTCCTCCCTGCGACGATGATCTGTTGGGTTTTGTTGCCTGCCGGTGGTTTGATCTTCATAGCTTTCAAGATGAGGTAATAATGCTTTCTCTTCACTAGGGTTTGCTTTTTTTCTTTTTTTTGGCTTTCTTTATTTTGTGGCTTTCAAATGCTTTAATCTAAATTATCATATGCTTTAATTATTGCGCATTAACTTTGTCGGACACCTCTTTAAATTAGGCAGAACCTCACTGATAATCTAACAAAGGTGACCTGTACGATGTAGTACAGAGATGGGATTGGACGTTGCAAAAGTAGTAAAAAAACAGTTACCAATTTTCCAATAATATACAGTTTTTATTCTATTTGGAATTGATGGTTCCACAACTTCATTTTTTAAGGATGTCAAACACCACATCTCAAATAAAATTTCTGTAACTTACTATAAATCAAATACTAAGCCCTAATTTGGCTATCATTTTGGTATTAAAAAAATAAAAAATGATAAAATACACTAAATAAGTTAATAAGATAAAATATCATATTTAACCCATAATCATTAAATTTTTTCTCTCACAAAAGTCAAAAAATTCAAAAATCCAAACTAAACGAGGCTAAAAAAGTTAGGTTAAAAAAGTCCCAATACAAAAAAATTGACTATATTAGCCAATGTTAAACGAAGCTTAAGGCCTCGTTTGGCAAGAGGCTATTTTAGCCAATTAGTCAAAAAGTTACTAAATTAGTCAAAAAGCCAACAACCCATACCAAAAAGTCAAAGATTCTCTTTTCTCTCTACTTTTTACACATCTTTTCGTAATTAGCCAAAAAGTCATCCCAACTATACAAGTTTTTTTTACCTACCTTTTTAGCCAAATAGTCAAAAAATTACTAAATTAGTCTGTTCCCAAACGAGGCCTAAATATACATACATTACGAAGGTATAACCTGCTATACTTAGACATCTAGGCCTCTTCATTGGGAATGGCTTTCCTCCATACTCTTTCATACTTTATTTAGGCTCCATTCTAGACTCACATTGATAATTTAAACCGTTCATATCGTAATTTCAATAATTTAGATGAGTTATGCAAAAAATGAACAAATTGCATCTTGTTTTTAAAAATGAACAATAATTGTGAGTTTAAACTTTCATTCTATAAAATAAAAAATGATTTGTTTATGTATTCATCAATATCTGATGGAACTGATTTTTTGCACAGCCTGTCTTCAATATGAGATTTACAAGATGAACGATTTAGATTATCAATGTGAGCCTCAAATGGAGCCCAAAAATAAAATATGGAGATGTATAGATAATAAATGTATGGAAGGGAGCCATACATCCTTTCACTACATTGTCCGAACTAAAAGTTTACTCCACGATAAACTTGTTTAAGTGTGATTAAGTTATGTAAACATTAGTTAGAATTGATTTGGCTGCAGCTTAAAAGCTAGCATATTGGCTAGAAAAGCCTAAACCTCATTGGCAAACTCATTTCCAGCAACAACACACACACACACACACACACATACACACAAAACTAGTACAACACCTCTAGTTCATGCTCCATTAGGCAATTTGTGGCAACCTTTGAAGATAGTTTGATCAAATTTGTGTCTTTCGTTTTCGGTTTGTTTTAATATTTGGAATTTGGAATTTGAATTTGAAGCTTGGATTTGGAATTTAGGATTTTCTTTGGTTCTGGAGGTTGCTTGATACTTCAAAATTTGTTTAGAATTCAATTGGTCAACAGTTAGTTTTAGTTTGTTTGATTGAGAGCTTATTTAGTTCTTTTGAAGTTTTCTCTACTCTCTTATGTTATTGGTGGAGCCTAAAACAAGACTAAACCTAATCAGACTAAAAAAGGAAACATGAAAATTAGTGTTTGGTTAGTTTTTGACTTTAAACTGTTTCATTGTTAGTTGAAGTTTTTCCTTCTTAGTTTAGGTTTTGGTTTCCTTATTAATTTAAGATTGGGTTAAAGGCTAGCCCTATAAATACACCCATGTAACTCTATGTTTTTTAATTCATTTATTAGTTTTATGATCTTAGAGAGAGATACACAATAGTGAGAATGAGAGATAGATCATTATAGAGAGAGTTTGTGAGATTAAGTGCAGGAGACTCTTTTAATTCCTTTCATATTGATCTTGGTAAATCCACAATATCTCCATGGACGTAACCCGTGATTTGGGTGAACCACATAAATCTCTTGTGTTGCTTTATGAGTTTTTTTTTTTTTTGTTATTTTACTTCTCCAATCTAGATCCTTTGTGTGTGTGATTGTTTGCTCAGGTCCTGGAGTTCAATATTAATCATATATACCATATAACAAGTGGTATCAGAGCATTGGTTCCTAAACCAAGAACGATAGCGGATAAAGGAAAAGTGAAAATCAAAAAATTTAGTGGTTCAAACTTCCAATTGTGGAAGATGTAGATAGAGGATCATCTCTATCAGAAGGATCTTTATCTTATTCTCGTAGGAGTAGCCAAAAAGCCGAAAATGATGAAGACTAGTGAATGAGAGTTACTCGATCGAAAAGCTTTGGGTATAGTAAGGCTATCCCTTGCTGCATCAGTTGCATTTAATATTCAACGAGAAGATAATCGAAGATTTGATAGCTTCCCTATCACGAACTTATGAAAGCCTTCAGCGACAAAAAAAAAGTCCATCTGATCAAGAAGTTGTTCAACTTGAAGATATCTTAAGGAGGAGTCGCGATTGAGTATATTAACGATTGTAGCTCACTGATCAGTTAGTTAAAATCGGCTAGTGTGGCTCAACTTTTTCGCGCTCCCTTTCAGAAATAAGCCTTACAGTTCGGACTCCCGCTGTTATGAATCTGATCTCACAACTGCAATGAGAAATAGATAAACACCAAAGAATCTAAATCTGACAAATTTTTTGGAAAATCGATTTTGAATCAAAATGCCAAAATTGGACTGCTTTGCCAGATACAGAGTCACCACCTAAATATTTTTTTGAGAAATTTAGAAAACCCAAGACTTATGCCAAAGGCCACGTGTCCGTCATCACCAAGATTGACTCGCATATATATATATATTTTATGACTATCATGCAGTTTTAAACAACATTACCTTCTCTCTCTTTCTGTTTTATTATTATTGTTTATTTTAATGTAATTTAAGTTGGATGTTTTTGAACTTATTTTCTATCAATTACTTTATTTTTGCCGATAAAAAAGAAATAGTAAGAAGGAATAGTGTGATATCAAATTAGATAAGAAAGGAAAAGACTGTAAATTGTAATTATGCCAAACTCATAATACTTATTACATTCATACTAACAAATTTTTTTTCAATCCATACTATCAATTTGTTGATAATACCAAAAATACCCTACATATTCTCCAACTTGCGAACCTAACCTAATTCTAACCCTAACCATTGCCATCACCATTGTTGGCTACCACCCGCTCTCCTGTCTCCTCACTTCCTCTTTGAAACCCTTTTTTTCCTTAAATCTAACCGCTTCCATTACTATTGCTGGTCGCCAGTCCTTCTCTCATCCCCTCTCATCTTCTCATTATCATCTCTTATGGTTGCTCCATCCCGAGTCCCATCCTCACTCTGTCACCTATTTCCAACCCCTCACCCACCTCTCGTTCACCCTCTGTAACCATCATCTTCTCAACTTGACACCTCAATCATATTCTTTCTTTTTCTTCTTCTTTAAACGCTGAATCTTGATTTCTCTATGTCTATGTTTATGTCTGTGTTTATGCTTGCGTGCGTGCATGAGAGTTGGGGTCACGAAGGATAAGGGTTGGAGTGGTAGTGATGGTACGTCATGGGGGTGGTAGGTCAAAATTCAAATTGCAGTCTTGATTTAGAACAAGTAATTGAAGAATTATTGGACCAATTGGACCGATAAAGAGCAAGGAAGAAGTCAAATTGAGAGTAATAGCAACACTTTTCGGATAAGCTCAGAATTATCTCAAATTTGGTAGTCTAATCAGAAACAACGTTTTAAATCAAAATCATCGCTACTTTTGCCATGATGCGGTGAATTTTAGCTAAATCCCTTTGTTTAAGCGCTCAAACAAGTGATTTTTCCGTTTTACAAAAGTTTTGTTTTAGTAATAACTTTATTTTGAGAAGTCCATTTTTAGGGCCATCTATTTTGCCGTGTTTCTATTAGTACCTAGTATTCAAATTTGGGCTTAACTCATATTTTCTATTTTTGATAATTTTTCGTTTATTTTTGTGTCTAATTCCTTGTTTACTTGTCTAGTTAGGGTTTCATTCATTATAAATAAGGATGTATACCTTAGGGCAAATCAACTTTTATTCAATATAATTCAATTTCTTTTTTAGAATTCTTTATTTCTTGTAAATTCAAGATGTTCTTCGTATGATAGAATGATAGCCTCATGAGATATATTCCACTAAGTGAAGTCTGCAGACCATCCCAAAAAAAATATGTTCAAGAACAAATAGATTTATGTATATATTTTTTTACTCGTCTTTACACGAAATAGTTCTAGCAAATAATACTAAATGCCTAATAAAGTATAAAAATTTCTTAAAATTATGAAAGGAAAGTAGCTTGTAATTCTAACAAACCTGTTAATTATTCAAAATTTTGCATATCATCATTCATTTAGGCTGCTAGTATAAATTGTCTTCAATACTTTTAAATTTAAGTACTTGTATTTTTGGTGAATTAAATTTAAATTAATTTACATGTAACCCAAGTAGTATGCAGTAGAAGTTAAATCATTGTGTCCAACACCAAAAAGGAAAAAATGACAGAAAAAAGAATATACAAAAGTTTAGTGGTGCAAGAATATCTGTCCTTACAAAATTTCTCTATATTTTATTTTGGTCTGAAATTAGATTGTACTATTTAATTGATTATTCCTATTTTAAAAATTATTAGGTAATTTCAGAGTACGGTGTTTCATTTTTTACGTGGGACTCTTGGCAAATGGGGGAGTTGAACTCGCACTATCTCCTTACAAGCACAATTACTTAACAAAAGTGAGTCACCATCTCTCACTCATAAAATTTTAGGCATCTCCATTGGTTTGGACCACCACATAAGCAATGTCGCATGGTGCTCCCGTAAT